CCATCTTTCAGAGGCTGTAGGGGGGCTCCGTTTTAATGCTAGAGTGAAAATATCATATGAAACTATAAACCAACCATCGACATCCACACTGTGCAGTAGTGATCGGGGTTGCCCCGCCCATACGCCCGACTCAACTCTTTTATAGCATCAAATAACTAATTAAAACCAAACTTACCAGGAAAATGAACACTTGAACCAACATCAGTGTGACAAAAAACTACCTAAAATACCAGAAACCATCTTTAGAAAAAAATTTATTTGACGTGTAATTTTAAATCTGCTAACATGGAGGCTTTATGATCTGTACTGCAGTCGGCCACCAGGGGGGGCATGTCGTTACTCTTTATATATGTCAAGTTGTTTGCATGTGGTTATTTTCACCTGGTGAATATTTAAATATTTCAGTCAGTAAGTTTCCACATACGAGAGATTAGCATTGGTAAATTGATGCATAAGAATCATAATCAAATGTAGAAAATTAAAAATAGAGACAATAAAAAGGAGCCACTATATAGAAATATATATATTATATTATATTCTGCATACTGAGGTCTGTAAATCAATCAGTGCCCCTCTTATGCCACAATCAGAAAACGTCCGGACACGCCCGTTAATTTCCTTTTATATCACAAAGCTGAACTCAGATTGACTCAGGAACTCATGATTAATGATTAATGATTAATGATTGAAGTGCCACTGATTATCAATTAAATGGCACTTAATTTCACTGTAATTAAAAGCGTTATTATGTTGAGGATTTTGGTAAAGCTGCTGGATGTCTTAACCTTTTAACTTTTTTACATTTTTATTATAAATTTTTTATATATATATTTCTTTTTGTATCTTCTAATGAAATGTACATTGTACACAGTGGTCATAGGCTATGTAGACGCCCCTCCGCTGTATTTTCTCTGTGGTTTTTGAGGCGTTCAGGAACCTGTGGGAGTTACTATGTCTTTAAAAATGTTTGTTGTTTTAGGCTGAGTGCATTATATTTATTAAACTGACAAATTAGGATAATTAAAAACTAATTACAGATTTTCTTCCTCCCTCAAAAAGTTCACATTTTAAAGGAGGATCATTCACAGTATTTCTTAAATCTGGCTAAATACGTTAAATAAAAGTTTCCTGTGTAATTGTGTTGAAGTGAACAAATAAAATCCTAAAAGTGACAAAAGATAAATAAATAAGTGAAGTTTTAGCTGCAGATACACAAACAGATGTTCACTCTCTCAGTTTGTGTCTGGGATTGTTTTTATATTTTGTTCTATGTATTTTTTTTATATCCTTTATTGTGATGATGATTTAACAAATGAAGATGAAGACTCTCTGATCTTCTCCACTGACGACAGTAGATGTGTAAAATGTGACGACTACCTCAAACCACACTGTGAACGTGGAAATGAGAAATAAATTGGTCTGTTTTCTTCTTTTATATTATTGATTGTGTTCTTAATGACTGTGTTTCCTCTGGGTTAGTGAATATGAATGTGGTTGCAGGTTCATTTATCACCAGTAAAAATGTTCTTGGTTCTTTGAATTAATAATAAAGTAGAATTACGGTGGTCTAATGTGTATGGCTGCAATCGACACTTTAATACTTGTGTTCAATATAATGTAATCCAGCATTATTATCATCGTTTAGTGTATAAAATGTCAAAAGCAGAGTAATATTTCCATCTCGGAGACACAAATATGTTCAGATTGTAAAAAGAGAAGGAAAATAAATCAATTATTTGACAAAAAATAAATAACTAACTAAACATTAACAAATTAAATTTACAATAAACTTAATTAAATTAATTGTACTCTTACACATATATTAGGCCTGTTTAATATTTTCTGATATTTTTTGTACATATTTTACTATTATTATTATTAAATATTTTACTAACATGTTTAGAATATTTAAATAATTTTCAGATATTTTAATTATGTTTTAAGGACATTTTAGTGATTTTTTCAGATATTTTAATGATATACTTAAAGTGGAATTTGAACATTGTTTTCTGATATTTCACTAATATTTTTACGATCATTGTTCTAATATTTTAATAATAATTTTTATAATTTTAAGATACTTTTACTTGTATTTTTCAGATATTCTAATAATATTTTTTGGATATTGTATTTTACTGATATTTCTTTGTGGAATATTTCACTAATATTTTCCGGATATTTTAGAAATTTGTTTCTCATTATTCTGATATAGTTTCTCATTATTTTGATATAGTTTCTGATTATTTTGA